GCTGGGGCAGACATAATCAGTGATAGTAGTAGTGGTTATCTTTCTGCAGTCCGTGGAGGTTAACAGTGGAGCAGAGATCCACCTGCAGTTCATGGAGGACCCCGTGCAGGAGCAGGTGGATGCCTGAAGGAGGCTGTGATTCTTTGGAAAGCCCATGCTAGATCAGGTTCCTGGCAGGACCCATGGACAGAGGAGTCCACACTGGAGCAGATTTGCTGGCAGGACTTGTGACTGCATGGGGGACCCACACTGGAGCAGTCTGTTCCTGAAGGACTGTACCCTGTGGAAGAAGCCCACACAGCTTATGAAGAACTGCAGCCTGTGGGAAGGACTTGAGTTGGAGAAGTTCATGGAGGGCTGTATCCTGTGGGAAGGAACCCATGCTGGAGCAAGGGAAGAGTGTGAGAAATCCTCCCTGTGAGCAGAATGGAGTGACAGATAATGTATGATGAACTGACAACAATCCCAGTTCCCTGTCCTCCTGCGCCATTGGAGGGAAGTAGAGAATTTCAGAGTAAAGTTAAGCCTGGGGAGAAAGGAGTAGAGGGGAAGGTGTTTTAAGATTTGGTTTTATTTCTGATTATTCTACTCAGATTTGATTAATAATAAATTAATTTAATTTCCCCAAGTTGAATCTGTTTTGCCCATGGTGGTAATTAGAGGATGATCTCTCCCTGTCGTTATCTCAACCAATGAGCCTTTTGTTGTATTTTCCTCCCCTGTGCAGCTGAGGAGGGGGAGTGATAGGGCAGCTTTGGTGGGCATCTGGTGTCCAGCCAGGGTTGACCCACCACATCTGACCATGTGATGAGCTGATGTAGTAAGTTAACCTGATAGAAAGTTAGCTTGGTGGGGGAAGACCAAGTAGATTTTTAGGTTTTGATTGAACTCTGAACAACTTTAAGCACAAATTTGGATGAGCATTAGTGCAAGGTAGAGGGAATGAAGTTTGAGTAACAGTACCATCATTCTGATAGTACTGGATCAAATTAGCATCACAGCACAACCGATTCCCAAAGTTGTATTTCTGATAGCTTCTTATGTCAGGCAGAGAAAACAACTGAAGAGAAAAGCTTTTCTGCATACAAGCCGAACTAGTACGTTGAAAATAGTTAAATGTAAAAGTGGAAGGCAGTTTCAGTGAGAATAAACTTCTTTCAATATATAAATGTTATAAAACAAGGTATGTATGAAAGGTCCAGAAGAAGCTATTTGAGTGAGAGGGAAGAAGCTGCCAAACCTGGATGTGTTCTTCGGTAGTTCAGACTGAGTTTTTGGAAGACAACTGCAGCTATTCCAGTGTAGCTTCAATCAGAAGGATACCTTAACACAGAAATCAGAGTGCACTGAAACTGATGAATAGGACCAAATAATACGTGAACAATTAATCTTTACATGAAAGGTTTACCTCAAAAGGAGGAACAAGGTGAGATCATCTAGCAATGAATGTGCAAAATAAGAAGAGACTATTCTGTAAATATGTGTAGTAAGAAGAAACCCTTTTAATTTAGTGATGCAGCTAAGCCAGTTTAATGGCTAGCTGCTACCCAAGGGGGTCATCTTCCTCTCTTCCCTTTCCCCACTGCTTCCTCCCTCCACTTGTCCTGCAGTTCAGGGAGGTAACTTGTCAGAAGACTGATTGTTTCCAGTTGTCTTCAGGGGAAATAACAGGAGAGAGATGGCTTTCTGTGGATTTGGTTCCCTAAGCTGTTGTAAATTCAGTCTGGCATAAGGCAGTGGTAATCTGGAGAATGACAGCAAGAGGCACAAGACTCAACCTTGTGGTGGTAGCTAACTGTTAGATGAATTTCCTTCTAACATGACAAATTACAGATTTGACCTTGACTAACCCACCTAAAATTCATGCTGGGAATTTAAAGAACTTAAAGAAATGATCTGAAATAATGTCACAGCTGTTGGAGAGGTAGAGGATATTCCAGAGGAGAAGGGGAAAAGGCATTGCAACCATGCTTCTTAAAAAAACCCCAACAACATAAAACCTACAAAAAGCCCTAAAGCAAATCCTCATAACAGCCTTTTGAAAAGGTAGGAGATAGAGGGTTGCAAACAAGCTATCTTGACAGAGTTCCTGGAGGAATATAGATAACAGATTATTTGGCCCCAGTGAAAGATGACCTGAAAGATACTAATCTCTGTGAACAGCCAATACAAGTTTTTCAAGAACGAACCCCCGTTAATCCAGTCTAACCTCGTTCTGTGGCAGAGCAAGGGACCTAGTGGATAGTTGTATCTTGACTTTTTTTAAAAAGACATTTTGATACTTCTCTGTTATGCAGTGTACAGAAACGGTATTATAGAAACTGCTGCATAGTGGAAATATATCTGATTGAAAAACTGCACCTGCAAATGGATGTATGGTCAAAGTGAAAAGATTTCTCACAAAGTCTGTCCTTAAATGCCTGCTGGTGTTTTCAGGAGTGACTTGGACTACAACGTCTTTGTATTACAGCAAGATAACATGAAGGGCAGCCAGAATGTTTGATTGCGATTTGGAATTCAAAATCATTCTGACAAACTGAGGAAGCCACTGCATTTTTAAATAGAAGGCTGTGGTTTCAGATGAATGAGAGGTTGTTGCATTTGGGTGGGAGTAATCAGCTGTGCAATCACAGTGGAGAATGACTGCAGAATAGAAACTAAGCTGTAAAAGGTTTGTTAACTGTAGATATTTAGCATGCTTTCATGTTAAAAATGAGTGCTTCCAGACTTGCCTGTCATCTGAGTACGTGTATTATCTGGGGAGAGAGATGTGCTGAGCCACCAGCTGAGATGTTGAAGTTGGAGGCAAAGTAGCTCTTGCTGATTTCTGTCCAAATAAGCGTGAACTTGGTGCATGGGGGTGTAAAGGGTAGGTTGCCATGCCTGCTTATTTTCTTTTATTTAGTGGAGTCTCTCTTGTGATGAGTTGAAACAGATACGAACAGCAGATTAAATTACCTGTTTCAGTGGAGGAGCTTTTACCCTGTTGCTTTCATAATAAATGGAACTGCTAACACTCTCTGCTCGTGTACAGAGTATTTTTGTAATTGGGATGAAAGTCGGGTAGAACTATGATTTGTGCTTCTGTTTCAAAAATACTGTTAAGATTTCTTTAAATACTTGTTATTGAAGCCTGTTAGGAAATTACTGTAGACTGCTGGTACTAACTAGCAGTTCTTATTTCTATATCAGAGTTCAATCAAAGAAATATAAATCTTAATTTAGTTTCTAGCTTATTTTTCTTCCCTGAAACAAAACATTTTTTTGTGTTTACAAGCACAACTTGGGATAAATGCACCCGGAATCTTTCATATAATTAAAAATGGTAAACCTTTGCTGTTATAAAAAAACCCAACCAATTTGGTTATTACTGTATTTTTTACATAGAAACCTACTATACTGTATGGAAATTAAAATTCCCTGTTCTGCAGCACTTGTAGCTGTTGGGACAAAATTGTGAAGTACTATTACTGTTTAGACAAATTTGAGGTGTCTAGCAGCAGTGCTTCACTAAAAAATAGGAAATAAATTATTTTTTACCATACCCAAGAAAGAATTTTATCTGCCACACCTCCTAGGTGACGAACATGTCTGCGCTTAACAAATGCTAGAGGATCAAAATCAGTCCAGTAGGTTTTAGTTGCAAGTGTATGATATTTCGTATTCTTGTGATTAGTCTCTTTTCATGAAGAAACTTCTTAATGAGATAGATGTGAAAAAATCTGTGCAGCTTATTTGAAGATAGGCTAAAATCCTGTGAATCCTCGCAGCAGTATTATACTTTGGAACAGATTTTAGATTGAGGCTGCACTGAATCTGCAGTTTGTGATAAAGCCTATTTTATAATTTTCTTGATTTTTTTTTTTTAAATGTATAGAAGGTGTTAATTGCCTTTATTGTACTGAAGAGGGGGTAAACTGAAGTTATGCAAAGATGTAGTAAGGTCATGCAGATGAACACTGATGGTTTTAATACTCAAGTAAAAATTCAGTTATCCCTGCCACCCTTTTGCTGCAGTTTCGGTTTTAACTGTTTCAGTAATCAGGTTTATAGCATCTCGGTCACAGCTGTGTTGGCACAACTGATGCAGCACTGGTTTACTGAGCACCTAGGAAGGAACAGTATAGAAACTTAAGAAACCACCTTTGCTACTAGGGGAAAAATACCGTGCTACGTTGTCGGTAAGACATTTCCATACATGCATACATCTTGCTGTGTGGGTTTTTGTTGGTAACTGTGTATGAACTCTGCTGATACTACTGACTGTCTGGACAGCACCACAGGAAGAACAAAATGCATTTCAGTAGTAGCATTAGAAGATTACTAGAAGTCATAATGTTCCTGATCTGTTACTTGGGTTATAGTAGCAGATATAAATGTAATTTACTTTTAAGCTTGAAAAACAGTTACAGGTTTCTGTAAACTCTCATGGTTTGTAGTTTACTATTAATTTGACAGATTAGGAAGGGGAGGAGGAGGATAATGGAAAGCTTTTCAGTAACAAGAATGTCTTTGGGAATAATTCTCTGGGTAAAAATCGTTGCTTTCCTTCTTAATAGGAGATGATGGCAGGCCTCCTTTCTGATTTTCTGACATCACTGGCAATAAATGGCCATAGCAAATGCAGAATAATACTAGAGTGAATATCTGTCTGCAGCTCCTTGTTATCATCTTTATGTCTAATCAACCGTAAGTGTCCCTGCAGAAATATGGAAAGATGGATTTACATAGCTTGGTGTGCCAAGTACATGCAACTTGACTTACTAAGTTTAGTAACTGAAGTGTTGTGTTTGTGTAAGAGGGAGAGCTCCACCTACTGGAAAAACCTTCTGGTTCATGGAGTGTATTTTGTGTCAGATGCGAGATACATATTTCTTAGGTCTCGTCTCAGGGATTTGGAATGAGAATAAAGAATTAGACTTCCTTCAACTTTAAAAAGTCTGAGCTCTGGAAATATTTTCGTAGATTTTCATCTTGACTTTATTTTTTTATAGGAACATCATCTCCAACGGGCTATCTCAGCACAACAAGTATATGGAGAGAAGAGGGATAACATGGTTATACCGGTTCCAGAAGCAGAAAGTAATATCGCATACTATGAATCTATATATCCTGGAGAATTTAAAATGCCAAAGCAGCTGATTCACATACAGCGTAAGTAAAGTAACTCATTCGTTGAAGTCTACACAGAAAACTTTGTTGCTAGTAGTTCAAGAGGTTACTCTTAATGCCTGTTGAGCTTGCATCAAGACTGACTTTTGAGAGTTAAATTTTTTCAACATGTAAAGAAATACTTCTTACAGAAGATGCATATTTAGTTCTTGATCAAGAAGTAGATAGATGTCCTTCTTGAGTCTATGTCTGTATGCTAATACTTTAAATTTAGCAATGTCAAAGGCCCGTTTCTGGCCTGTACAACACACAGTAGTTACAACTTGTAGGGGAATTTAGGTTCATCAGCAGAGACAGACACAAATATACTTGAATAGGAGAATATATAATATATAGTTAAGAAATAGAGTACTTGTTCCTTGAAGCTTAACCAGGAAAAAAATCACAGTAGAGTGAATTGGGAAGCCAAGCAGAAATGGCAGGCAGTAGTAGTAGTCTTTGCCTGTGCCTGGATGGAAGTATCCCACACCTAAAAGTAGGTGATTTTTGATACCGCTGATGACTTCCAGTGTGTTGGGATTTTGTTGTTGTTGGAATTTAGCAGCTTTTCTGTATGGATGTGACACTTGATGTGAGCACCATGTTACTTCCTATAACTTTTGAAAACATTATGAAAAATATAATCCATTGCAGAATTCTGTTGCATGGTGTAACTAGTAGAATTTAAAAAGTAGTGTCTGTGCTATGTAAACAGATGTCCTGCCTAGTTACCTTTGGTTAAGTGTCAGACTTCTATATCAGTCCAAGTCTAGATGACTTAAAGCATTAGAATCATAGAATAGTTTGGGTTGGAAGGGACTTTTTTAAAGGTCATGTAGTCCAACTCCACCCTGCAGTGAGCAGGAACACCTTCCAGGAGATCAGGTAGATAAGAGCATGCTGCTCTGCTTCTGAGTAAATGAAGAGACTAATACTAGCAGTCTTCCATGCTGATATTAAGGTTACACTTTTTCATTCTTCTTTTTCCTTATCTAATGGTGTAACAGCTGAAATGTTTATTTTTCAGCTGCACTGTATTCTGCCTATTTCAAGTGATGCTTTTCACAATGTGTTTTCAGAGGTGCACTTTGAAAGAAATCTATATCTCTTCTGAGCTAAAACAACTTAAATGAGACATGAGAACTAGGGAGATCTTATTTTGAATCCAGAATGCTGCATTTTCATAGGATATTGTGGAAAACAGAACAGTTGTTTGTGTTCTGGAAAACACTACTTGTATTTGAAGATGCCTTGCTACATGGGGTAGACCATGCTGAGCCAGTTTAGTCTTACTCACCTACATCACAGAAATCGTTGATGAGAATGTGTGTAAAGACATTGTAATACAGTCTCTACATACTTTTGTAGAAGGACCTTTAAAGTGCGTTTGGGCCAAAGTCTGAACTATTGATAATACAATACATAAAACTGCAGAACGCTAGACAGCATTGACAATTTTGACCAATCTAAAACTTTCTTACTGAAGACAGTGAGGTTGAAAGCCACTTGCTGCCATGACCACTGGTAAGCTTTCATTGATTAACGAAAGTATGGTCGAATAGATACCAAGTTTTATTCCTGATTTTTTTGATGGTGTAATTTTTTTCAAGAAAAAATTATATATAACTTCTAAGTAGTATTACTTGAACATTCAAACAAATCATTTTCTTTTTTTCTTCAGAAGAATCTTGTCTGTACTGCAGACGCTGCTATTAGAACAAAACGTTTTTATAGGAAAACTAACATTAGCTTTCACTGTATCCTTTAGCTTTTAGTTTGGATGCTGAGCAGCCGGATTATGACTTGGATTCAGAAGATGAGATCTTTGTGAATAAGTTGAAGAAAAGAATGGACATCTCTCCTTTGCAATTTGAGGAGATGATAGACAGACTAGAGAAGGGCAGCGGTCAGCAGGTACAACGGTACTTTGAATAAAGAATTTGAAGTACGCACTCAATGCATTGGTATATGAAAGTGACATGCTGGGTTTTACATTTAGCCAGTCAGCCTGCAAGAGGCCAAGCTGTTGCTGAAGGAAGATGATGAATTGATCAGAGAAGTGTATGAGTATTGGATTAAAAAGAGGAAAAACTGTCGAGGTCCCTCTCTTATCCCAGCAGTGAAACAAGAGAAGCGAGATGGTTCCAGCACAAATGATCCTTATGTTGCTTTTAGAAGACGAACAGAAAAGATGCAGACACGAAAAGTAAGTGGATCAATCAGTACCTCCCTCTGCTTGCTTTCTCTTCATTCTCTCCTCTCAGAAAGTATCATATATAAAGAAACAGTTCTGCTACGTAAGTTGGGGTGTTCTTTTGTTTTAATTTGCAAGGGTGAGAACATGGAAGAAACTACTTTAGGTCAGCTATTGAGTGAAAATTTGTATTCATTTTTTCACTAAATCTACAGTTGAACCTACTTGTGGTGTTGGTAAGCTATAGCTCATTGATAACATGCCCATGCTCCTCTGTTTTAGCTTGTGTTTTCGTGTGTGTGTATATATATTTCCACAAACATTTAGAACTTAATTCAGATTATTTAATTTATATTATGTGAGGAAACATAGTGTATATGTATCCACAGAATCGAAAAAATGATGAAGCATCTTATGAGAAGATGCTTAAGCTGCGCCGAGATCTGAGTCGTGCAGTAACCATCCTGGAGATGATAAAGAGGAGGGAAAAAAGCAAGAGAGAGTTGCTGCACTTAACACTGGAAATTATGGAAAAGAGGTAATGTTCATTGAAAATTTGCTGCAGAAACCTTTGGAAACTACCTTGTATTTCGATTCCCACAAACATTTAAAACAGTTTAAATACTTATTTTAAAAATATTTCACATTTACAGGACGGTATATTTTCACATACGGCTATGGAGAGCAAAATAAAACATTAGGAAGTTGTTTACTATGGGCAAGTGGCCTGTCACAGTAATTTACATTAGTTTATTACATTGATACATGTACTCAAATGTATGTATAGATCATATATATTATCCAGGAGGAGAGATCAGTTTCAGGTAAATTAATTTGGAAATTTGTATTAAACTTGAATGTGTAGATTAAGGAACTACCAGCTAATTTTAAGGCCATTTCCAATCATTACCTTTTTTCTTTTTCTTTATTATCACTGTTCTTTTTTAGCAAAGCTTGACCGAATACGGTCTTAAGGGAAACAAATAAGCGTTTCATACAGTAGAAAATGTTGTACGAGTCATTTCCAACCAGTACTGCTTTTGACATCCTGTTTGTCAGCTGTGCTGAAGACAAAATGCCCTGTTCTGTCAGCTGTCACTTTCCCAATCAACTGAGAATCACATTTGTAACGTGGAGTTGTTCTTTAGGTTGATATGTAGAATGTGAATAGACTTTGTAGCTTAAGCATCCACGTTAGAAAACAATTATTTTGAGTCATTATTTTAAAGCTCTCAAACCAACTGTAGTTTGGCTTCTTAGAGAGACAAGTTGAATGTTTCTGCTGAGGCACTTTTTAAAGCACTGATCATTTTCACTAATAATAAAGAGGGGGGAAATAGCAAAGATTTTCTAGTAGTTTCTTCAAGAAAAGAAGCTGTTGAATAGAGAAAAGACTCTAATGCCCCCCGCAGAATGGAAGACTGAACTTCAAGTCAGCACTTTCCACAGGACTTGAAATGTAATAAGTTTCATTGATCTGCTTGTTGTGAAAATATTCCATAACACGAAAGAGGGAGGATTTATGACTAGGACACTGCCTCTGTTTAAAGCCTGTTGTGTGATAGATGCATGTTTTTAAATGTTACCTGTCCCCAAGTGAGGAGGGAGGGAAACCCTCCCCTGTTCTTCTGTTCTCGTTCCTGCTATTTTCCTTTATAGTATTACTTATTGAGGTGTTTTATAGGCTTTACAGGGTGGTTGGTTATCCTTTTTATTTATTTGTCAATATTAGTCATAGCAATGAAGTTTCCATGTTATTAGTCCCCTTTTCTGGAATAATATTTTCTGTATTTCTTGCTGTCATCTGAGGATGTCTCTTTACCCCAGCTTGCAAGTACTTGTGTGTCTGTGTTGTGCAATTTTTTTTTACCAGAAGTACATCATAAATGTTCCAACAAGTGAAAAAAAATACATAAATCTGATTTCAGGTATAATTTGGGTGACTATAGTGGAGAGATCGTGTCTGAGGTCATGGCACAGCGGCAGCCAATTAAACCTACCTATGCTATTCCCATCATTCCTGTGACTAACAGCAGTGCTTTTAAACACCAAGAAGCTATGGAACTGAAAGAATTTAAAGTCAAAGTGAGTAATGTCAGTAACTGATGTAGTGGTTCATGCTGTTATCTATGCAAGATACAGCATTTTAGAATGGGAGGAGGGGGCAAGCTTTTTGAAACTGGAAATAGACTAGCAAAACTGCAATTGGAATAAAATGCTTTGCTCTGTTAGAGTTACGAGGATGACGTACAGACTAGTGGCATTCCTCGAGACTACATAAAGGAAGTATAAGTGAACTACAGGAAAAAGGACACATGCTGTCTTAGTCTTGGGGATACAAACATTTTTTTTCTCTAATACTGTTCATAAAGTTAGGATATCCTGAATAAATTTTATTTAGTTTGGACAAAGACAGGATTAATGAGGTAAAATCCGTATCTTGGTCTAAATTATGTAGTTATTTTAATCTGGAGGGTTGGTTTTTTGGTTTCCATGTTGATTGGTTTGTTTGGTTTTGGTTTTGTTTTAAATATGATCCACTGATATCCCCAGCAAGTTGTATATCTTTGTCCGGTTTTTTTGTTTAAGTGAAGTATCAAATAATCTTGTTTAATTTAGAAAGCTGACCAGCACTTATTTTCCTGCAGGCTTTAATTTTGTCATACAATGCATAGCTACAGTGCCAACAACTGAGCATATTAAATAGGTCAGGTAACACAGGAGAAATGCTGAGGTATAGTGTGAATTTTAAACAAAGACTTCTTGTAACTGAAGAATATCCAAAGACTGTTCTGAATCTGACAAGGTGGCTTGAATCAGTGAATACTTCAATTGATAGTAGAGCATTGTAATTGAGATGACTCACATGTACTTACCTGTTAGTGATGTTGAGTCAATGCAGGGTCTCGCAGCTTGAAAGAAATCTGTTTCTTGGAAACCTTTGAAATGCACTTGGGAAACTTGGCTTTATGTAGTATGGGGAAATGTATTTAATTTTTAGAGGATTTTTTGAGGTTCTAGGTATATTTGAGAAGTCTTCGCTTCTATTTTTGCCTTTAAGCATTGTTTGGTACTTAATTTTTGTAACACTATGTAAATGCCTATTTTAATTTAAAATGGTAGGAAATTAAAAAGGTCCCTTGTGGAGATCACTGTATATATTTTGGTCTACTTCTCCAAAGTAGTAGTGTTACCTTAACTGCTAGTGTTTTATCGAGCACAGATTAAAACAGAAAATGTGGAATCAACTACTGTTTTCTCAAACACTTGAGTTACTGGAAAAGAAATACAGATATTAGTGAAATTACTGCATGTTTTGCTATCAAGACAGTGGAGAGAGAAGTTCACTTTTCAGCTTGCTTACACAGTTTTCTAAAACTCCTGGTTTAATACAATTTGCTTGTGTATGTAATTTTACACTTACTTTGTTTTGTTTTTCTTGCAGCAAGATAAACCTGATGCTATTAGACCCAAAAGAAAGTATGAGAAGAAGCCGAAAGTCTTACCTTCATCTGCTGCTGCAACTCCTCAACAAAGTCCGGCTGCACTGCCAGTCTTTAATGCTAAAGATTTGAATCAGTATGATTTTCCTAGCTCAGATGAAGAACCTCTCTCCCAGGTAGTACCTCTAAAGTTCTGTGCCACGCTTGGAGAAGGAATACAAGTAAAATGCATGAATTTACTAAAATCTCTTATCATATGTATCCCTCATTCCCTTTTTAAAGATTTTGTCTGGTTCTTCGGAGGCTGAGGAAGAAAATGATCCTGATGGTCCTTTCGCCTTCCGTAGGAAAGCAGGTTGTCAGTACTATGCTGTAAGTAGAATTTCCTTATGTATCATAAGACAGAGCATTGTTGTGGGAAAATATCTTGTGTTTAATTGTTTAAAATTATTTTAAGCCTCATTTAGACCAACCTGGCAACTGGCCATGGAGTAGCCCTAAAGAGGGAAGATTAGGAGACGTGCGTTACAGATACTGCTTAACCACCCTCACTGTACCCCAGAGGTGTATTGGGTTTGCACGAAGACGGGTCGGCCGTGGTGGAAGGTAAGTGCTACAGAAGTGTTGCTGGTTTTATAAATACAATGTAAAAAAGTAAATCAGTAAGACACAAAGAGCAAGGTTTAAACAAATACAAAAGAAACAACCAAACAAAAAAACACCCTTAAAAATGGGAGACGAGAGTTTGACTTTTTAAGTACTTCCATTTGATACAAGTTTTCGTAGCTGGTTAATTCCTCCATTTTTATCTTGTGGTGGTGGAAGCTGCTTTAATACTGTTTTCTTAAATGTTTCTAGGGCGTGTATGTTTTCAGTTGTTATCAGTGGTTTGTATTTAAATGATTTATGTAGTTGTCTTTAAATAGTAGTATTTAAAAATGGCATATAGTAATTAAGGACTTCAGGCGTTTTGCTTCTAAGCTTCTTTATCATAAACAAACTGTTCAGTATATAGGTGCTATTTCTTAAGTATTTTATGATGCCTTTAAGAAAATGTTACATTGGTAATAATTTTAATTTTGTGTCCCCAGGCACACATGGCAAACTTATGCCTTTCTTGGTATTTTCTTGCCACTGTATAATTCTGCATTGTTTTTCTGTTTTTAGGGTGCTACTAGACAGAGCACATTCGGACTATGATAATACATTTCATCAGCTGGATTTGGAAATGTTTTCCTCATCACAACACTCTTCAATCAGTCAATTTGCCAATACCTCAGAAACAAATACCTCGGACAGATCTTTCTCGAAAGACCTCAGTCAGATACTAGTCAATATCAAATCATGTAGATGGCGACATTTTAGGCCTCGGACACCTTCCCTACATGACAGTGACAATGATGAACTCTCCTGTAGGAAATTACACAGGGGTATAAACCGAACAGGCACAGCACAACCTGGGACCCAGACATGCAGTACCTCTATACAAAGTAAAAGTAGCAGTGGTTCAACACACTTTGGTATGTTTATTTTGACAACCTTGCTTCTAGAAATTGTAAACGTGGCTCAGAAGATCATTAAGTCATCCATTCGTGGCACTGTGCTCTCTTTTGATAGTAACAGCTCATCTTCACTTTTTTCTCTTTATTTGCTGCACTGAATGTTTATTTGTAGTCATGGGTAGCAGTAGCGGACTGCATCTCAAATTTATGCAAATGCTACTTTGGTATGTAATTATTATTTTAGAAATATGAAGGTTTAGAAACCAGTATTGTGTAGGGTTTAAGTTGACTTAAGATCTGGATTTTTAAAATTAAAAATACGTTGATTGAAAGATTGATACAAATATTATGTTCCAGATTTTTTCTAGTACAAGGTGTGGTGGTGGTGGTGGTGGTGGTGGTGGTGGTGGAAATGTTTAGTTAAAATGTTTGTGTTTAAAATCCCAGCATGTTATGAATTCGTATTTGAACTTACATCTAAACTAAATGCCATTTTCCATCCAAAAAGTACCCAGCCCACCCCCACTGATGCATCTGCTCATGCTTGGCAAAACTCTCGGACTAATCACCTCTACATCTTGTCAACAAGTGGCAGATTACATTTTACAGAACCTGAATTACAGAATTGAGTACCTGACTAAGATGACTTGATGTGGTGTTAATTGTTTTTAATTGGAATACAGTTGGATAGCATTGCTCTTTATATTGGGTTCGTCACATTAGAAGACTGGCATTTACATAATTAGAATGTAACTTAAATAGTTCTTGAATTTTGATTAGTCAGTACATTAAATGTCATCTTTTTATAGAAAGTAATGTGATGTAGTTTTTTACAAAGAAATAACTTTAAAAGTTTGCAGCCATTTTGTAAGGAGTCTGTAGAATCATGTTTTCCCTGTGATTCTGGAATATGGCTTTGGAAATAAATTAGAAAACCCAGGTAACATAGGAGTACGGTGAGGAGAGTTACATATACCTAATAAACTCCCTGGACTGTGGGCTGTCCCAGAGTAGGTCCTTGCCCCCATTGCCTATTCTTTTCTCTTATGACTCTTGTCACTGGGAATGTGTTAGGGATAAAACTGTTGGTTCTTCTGGTTTGTAACCTAAGTATGGTATGGCTTTTGGTGTTTAAATTTTGCCCCTCTAGTGTTTTGAATCAATAAACCAATTTCAGAACTGAATGAGAGCATCCTCTTTCTAGTGGCCACTTTGAACTGTGATGAAATGGTGTTTGGGTTACTAGTGTGAAAACAGAACTTATGTGTGAGGAATAGATTTATAAATGTACTAGAGTGCTAATGGGCAATACATGACATCTGAAAATGATGTAGATTTGAAAAATAGGCTGGTTGAGTTTAAAGCATATGTCTTTGTGTGTATATAAACAAACATACACACCCTCCCATAGAATCTTTTTTCCTTAAATAGGTGATGAAGATATTTATATAATTTAGGAATTAGGTGCAAATGTTATTTATGGTGATGAGTCCTGTACAAGGTTTTAATTGTGTGGTTGTATTTTGAAGCCTGTGGGGAAAATAGCACATCTGAATAAGTACCTAGCATATTATATGCATTTGTGCTTGTAATTCTATGCAGATGGTTTATCATCTGTGTAAAACATTTAAGTGAGTATTCTGAGCTTTTCCAAATTCCAGTATTAATGTAAACTCCGTGACATTTTTATTTGTGGGTTTGATACAGGAATATTCAGTTAAAAAAGCATAACTATGTCTGGATTAACTTCTAATTAGTTACCAGAGTCTTTGGATAGTCACTTATTTGTTAATATAACCAGGTAGATTGTACTTGTATAATGATGTGTAATCTTAATCTGGATTCACGTAGCATTGGAGCTATATATGAGTTTGTGTATATGTGATGTAGTGGTGATCATCTATTCAGGTGTAGGTGTTTGAAAGGAGCACACAGCTTAGTTCATCTTGGTGCCATTCTGTTTTCTAGTGTTCTGTTTTCAGCTTCTTAAAGGGTTCTGTAAGATAACGTTGTGTGCACAGATTACAGATGTATTTGTGTGTCTCATGTGTGACTTTGACTTGAAAGGTGCATGTCAGTTGGGGCTGCAGCTGCTGAGTTGAATCATCTTCCTTTCTGTAGCAAATACTGTAAAGAATATCAGGTACCTAACGTCTGTACTGAGTTTTTCTAGTAGTCACTACTGCAGATTTCCAGTCCTGTGGAGTGTCCCTGTCCCTTTCTCTTAGCTGTCTATAAAGTCGGGAGTTTGGTGTGAGCGTGGATTTTTTAGGTTTCTCTTTGCATTTTAGGTTTTTGAAGTGGCACTAGGTCTTTTTACCAGAAAACACTAATGCATCTCTCTTCAAAAATTCTTTTATCCTTTTGCTGCTGTGGTGAGTTTGGTCAAACCGCATTGTTTGCCTTTTAGGATGAACCTCATGCTGAGATTTGGTAGTGGCCAGCAAAGGTGGTCATGTTGCTGTGTGTTATCGTGCACCACGACATAAGTTTTATCTGTTTCCATATTGAAGAAGTTTAGAGAAGTGTTTGCGTTTTTTCCACCCTGAATGATCCAGACAACATGCTGCTGACATGGAAAAATTGCTGTGGAAAACCTTGCTTTTCAAGTCTTATCCATGCCCAGCACAGGCATGAAGTTGAGACAGTATTGCAGGTCATCTGTTAATCAGAGAATACTTGAAAATGGGGCTTGTACTGGACTTGTCATATGCTGAAGGATGGAATTTGACAGGCGAATCAAGTGGCCAAAAAAAGGATCATCACTTTTTTGAAGACAGTGGTTCCTTTTCATCGTACTGAAGAATTACAGAAAAGCATTCTTTGCTCTCTTGCAAAAAGAGCTGATTCAAGGACCTTTGGGCATATGTTATAGAGAACACCTCTGAAAAGCAGGCAAGAATGTAAAAGCATGATTCTTGTAGTAACTTGTTCAGTGGGGAAGCTATTCACTCTGAACAAAATGCAACAAAATTACTTCAGAAAAGGAGTCTGTATTGCTAGCAATCTCATCAAGTTTCTGAATCATCATCTTCAGAGATGGAGCTTGTGTCTTAAGTCTGGAGCGTACAGTAGGCATGAATATTCATCTGAAGTATTTGTGTCCCGGGAATTTAGTCTTCCTTGTTAGATTAATTAATTGATCTAGTTCTGCCAGGCAAATGGTATTCTTCAAACTGCATCCCGTTATAGAGAGATACTGCTTGCTGCTAAATAAGTTACATTCGTATTTTTGGATGCTTGCATCTAGCAATCAAAAGTTTGAGACATTTAAAACTGCACAGCATGCAGAATTCTGTTGCAGCCTTGTGTTTAGGAGGCAGGCCAGAGATACCAGTCGCTCATGAGAGATTTGAGCACTTGTTCCCAGGCTCCATAGGAAGGCTGGGCAGCCTCCTTGTGTACTACTGCTCTTTCTGCCTTCTCCATCCAGAAGCTGGATCGCTTTGAAAAGAAGGTCTGCAAGCTGTCAACACTAAAGAGGCTAGCAGTTACCTAGAGTCTACTCTAGTTATTCTAGTCTGCTCTAGTATTCTAATTCTCTTTAAGAAGTTCCAGTATTTTAGCAGAAGCCTTACTGAAAATTCTTTAAAAGTTACGGTGTTTGGGATTGTTGACCTTGCTGTATGTGGAGAACTGCAGGCATCCAGAATATAGTTAAAGAATAGAGAGTAGCCTACTTTGCATTTTTTTGGGAACTAGAGAATTAGATTATGTGCTGTAAGTTGTGCTTTGCTATTCAGTAACTTTTCCTTTGGGAATTCCATAGAAGTCAGGTTTTTCTCAGTAAATCTGGATGCTTTTTTTGCATCTCATAATCTGTCTTTTTTAAAAGCAAGTTTGCACACTTAGGGCTCTAGCAGAATAATGAACTGTGCTTATATTTCCCAAATGTGTGTTTAGCATTTCCATCTCTAAATCAGTCTTGGTTGATGGATATATACTATTTTTTTCGTGTTCTCATTAAGAATACCTGACACCCATCTTCAGGCATCCCAATGCTTGTGGCAGTTCCTCACACCAGAGTAGAAGGACTTGTCCTACCTTTTCATTGCTCTCATGCCATCACTGGTTGCATTCTGGTTTTATTTAACCCTTATATCTGTAATAGTATAAATACTGCTGCTTGTTTTATTGTTTTCCCTTTCCCAAATGCTTATTTGCACATTGTGGGATAAACTTGACCATGAAAAATACAGATGTTTGTAATGGCTGTTTTCAGTTATCACTGGGACTCAACAGTCTTGGCCCACCTATGGCTACGTTGTTGAGATCCTAGTTAAAGGAGCAGTGGTGTTGGGAGTAACAGATGTTTAGAGCTCACCCTAGGCTTAGTTGAAGAAGGAAGTCTTAAAAGGAAAAGCCTCTTTAGTTTGGGAAATGTGACTGGGGATTGGGAAAGAG